AATAATGAAAGTATACATAATGTCAATCATCACAAAGAAACTGCATCAAGTACATCAAAAACCCAATTTTCTAATTGACTTAGACAAAAATCGGAAGACGAATTGGAAAAGCTTTTAAAATTCATCAACGGAGGCATTTAAACTAATCTAGAATTTACACAAATGTTTACAAGTGCAGTTATTAATAATATTTATCAATTTTTATACCTTTCTTGTAAATAATTTACGAAATTCCCGACAAATCTTACAGAAGTAATCAACGTAATGAGCGAACGTCAAATTAAAACTCTTCTGAATGAAAAGTTTATTCTTGTTGTTAATTCAGTGTTAACAAAATTATTTGTTTTTCAACAAATTCATTTTTAAAATTACACATTAAAAGTGAAAAATATATTCTTAAATAAACAAACAATAATATTATTGTTGTATTATATATCAAGTGAAATAGGTAATTGGCTAAAATGGGCTACCACTTACCACTTATGAATCCAAAAGAAGTATACGATTACTATAAGACAGATTTGATATTAATTTCTTCAAATAATGATAAATTAATAGAGCTCTGCGATTCTTTAATTGAATATTATATTTATAAAGGAGCACAATTTAATATTCGCATTTGGGAATCAAGAGAAATAACATCAGAACGTTGTACCACTCTGAAATTTAAATCGAAATTCACAAAATCTAATCCCAACTATTTTATATTTATTTATGTTTAAAATACAAAAATACAAGCTGACATAAATAAAATAACTATCAATAACAAATAGCAAAAAAAAGTCTTTAAAAAAAAAAAAAAATGTATGTAAAATTTATCTAATGATTTAGATGATACTAAAATCTAAATTTACCTACTTAAAATATTACCAAAAGCAATTATACTTTTGTATTTTAATTTTAAATCATACAATTATTATAATTTTTTACAATTTAGACTAAACATTTTACAATATATTCACATACATATATTAATTAGATTATATTATTAATAGTCAGTCGAAATCAATAAAAACCTTTTTCCTAAGCAGGTAGTTTTGGTAAAATCAATAAATCCTTATGTAAGTATGTCTACTATCACAAAAAATATAAAGTAGAACACAGTATCTAATGAATAAACAAAAAAATATGAATATTAATCGTACTAATTTGTATGAGTTGCAGCGGCGGGGAAAAATGTATAATATTCATGTATTATATAATTTATAATATCACTTTTTTTTTTTTTTATGATTAAAAAAATAATTTATAAAATGAGAACAAAAGACTATTGATAACTGAACAATGAGTCGTATTATTAACAAAGATAATATTTTGTTTTAATATGCCACAAAGTTCCCTTTGAACATCATTTTTGCAGGAAATTCGTCAATTATCTGGGTTCTGCTTTTTGTCAATTGAAATATTAAATTTTTTACCTTACACAATATTCTTAAATTTATTTTAAAGTAAGCAATAGGTATTAGAATTATCTATTATTTTAAGTTTCGATTTATATTTAAAATTTAAAATTACCAATCATATTAATCACGTTTGAAAACGTAGGTACCAACCGAATAAATAAACGGATGAATAATGTATTTAAAAAAAAATAATTTGATCAAAAAAATCACTACAATTCACTAATATTTATTACTTTGTTATTTAATTACTATTTGTTCTCGCACACTATTTTTATCATATAATTAAATTTATAATTTATTTAACTTAATATACTGAAAATAGATTATTCCAGTTAAAAAATATAAACTTTTTAATTTATTAAAATATATTAATAATAATTTGAATAACTAAATAATTAAAAAAATTCAGCCTGATACTTAAATGTTTACCTATATTATATAATAAGACCAATAGTTAATTATATTATAATTAAATATATATATATATATATATATAATCTTTATTAGTCTGTCATTACTCAGTACTATTGTGACTCAAAGTACTATTTGTAATCTCTTTTATCGTGAATAAAGTGTATAGTGTACACCGTGTATACTATATGAACATCAAAAAGTTTTGTACGGTGTTGGACGACGTGACAATCAAGTGTTGTGCTTATTATTCTATTTTAATTACATTTTTTAAATTTGATTTTTGAGTAATGGAATTTATTAAATCATCCAACATTATGGATATTCATCGATGTGTTTAAAGATCAGTAACATTTAGAAGCATATTAAACAAGAACAATTCATTGGAAAAAAAAAACATAAAAAAATAAAAAATAAAAATTGTTTGGAAAAATAAGTGACCAAACTTTATTTTACAATATTAACAATATTAATTATTTAAAAGGTATCACTTTTAACTTAACCCTACAAACGTAGTATCATGATTTTGTGAATATTTTTTTAATATACTTTTATATTTATTATATTATGATAATATTTTTTCGTTTTTTTTTTGGATTTTGTATTAATGTAAATTAAATTTTGCTTTTATTTTTTTCGCTCTTTTTTCACTATATTATGGCCTATAATCACATACTACATTATTGCAAAAGAAACTTAATCAAAAATATAAAAGTATCTTGATTTTCTTAAATATTACTTTCATTTTATTCACAATAAAGATAAATATCAGTTTTATAAAATTAAAAAATTAAAAAATAATTTATTAGTCTTCAGATAATATTATAAAATTGAACACTCCGTTCACTCACTGTTCTAAAGTTTTTCAACATTATGTGTAGGGTATTGATGTATATAACTATATCAAACACTTTATCAGTGAAAAACCATCGAAATAAAAATAAAAATTTTTTCTCAATGGTACAATTTCAATTTATTAAAACGTGCAGTTTTCTAAAGAAAAAATGGAACTGCTGACAAAATACCCATCAATCGAAGCTTTCAGATAATTAATATTATATATAAAAAAAAAAAATCTATCACTTTACTTCGATAATAGTATATCTTTTATATCAATCTAGTAGCTGCAGGCTTCAATAGTGATGTGATAAAACTGAGGATTATAATGACACTTGAAACAAGATTTTAAAATACAGATATCAAAAATATATAAAAACGATTTAACTAATCTTACATTGTATTTTATTTTACTTCACAAATCAAACAATTTGTGAATTTTTTAACAATAAGTTATAATAAATTAATTATTGTATCGGTAGTATTTAATTTACGATAGTGCGTACTTATTCTTCGTATACCTAATAATTTCATGATTTAAGTTTCATTTTCCTCATCAGTAACCACGTTCACGATCCGTCACTATATCCCATAAACTTAAGTACTAAGAATGTTTAAAAAAAATCATATATTACGCTCTAACGTTAAATTTATTAATTACTTACTAAATAAAATAAATTGTTAATGCTAGAATGATATATTTTTTATATAAGTATTTGTATCAACATTTAATAATAAGCATTTGTGTAATAAAATAATATTATTAATTATTAGACTTGCAACTAAATCATAAATTTACCAAAATACTGGCATGTGTGTTATTGTTGAATTATTTAAATTTTTTAAATTTTAATTTAATATTTAAATGATACAATGATCCATGTAATATATTTTATGCTTGAAAGATACAAATCATAATTTCATTTTGTAGAGGTTTCTTAAAATAATTTAACTTTCCTTATCCTAAATGGACACGTGAAGATAAAATTAACTGCCATATTGATTAATGACTAATAGATATTAAATACTTATAATATTTAGTTCATGATTTTCCAAATATTTTGTCGTAGACGTCAAATCAATTCAAAGAGTTGTTTAAAATCAGCTACTTTGAAGTTACAGGTAGAAAACTAATTCAATTTTGAACTTTACAAATTCAAAAATAGAATATCCCAATACTTTACAAGATTATTGGGAAAAACGAAAAAAAAAAATTATGAACAAATAGGAGTATTTAAACAAAATCAGTTTTTAACAAAACGGATTAATTGCGAGGCTTAAAAAAATACATAACAACTATACCATAGTCCATAATACTACATTCATTTTTATAAAGGAATTTAATTTCAAATGCTAATGAAACTTTAAAAAAAAATTGTAAATTATTTTTTAGGTAAGGCTGGTAGGTCATCTCTATTCAGAATAATTTTTCATGGTATAAAATGACTTACTATTGAAATCAAATTTCAAAAACGCAAAATAAACTTTTTTCTAAATGATAACAAAATTATATGTTAGAGGATTACGCTGGAATTTTTTTTTTTTTTTAACTATTTTTCGTTAAATTATCAACTTTGGTTTGCAAGTTTATTAACTATCGTCCTCTAAAGTTTGATAATATTGTTAAAAGATTTATTTGGGCTAATATTAAAAAACAACTATTGTATTAATCAATAGTGGTAAGAAATTGATTGAACAAAAATAATATGTCGTTATGGTCATAGCATAGGTCAACAACCATAGACGATAGTCGATAACAAAAACATATTAGGTATTATCAATAAATTTTGGTTTATCTTTTTGCTACTTTGTTCAAATATTCGAGAAAAAAAAATATCTACAATAAACAATTATTCATATAGTACTTACATATCAAGCTGTGTTAAAAAAAATATTTATACAGAAATTAAGAAATATGTACTATTTTTAAAGTTGACAAATGACGCGTTATAAATGTTTGTTTTTAAACTCGTTATTGTATAGAATGTGTTTTTAGCTTGGTCTAATATTAATGGAAATCACATAGAAAAATATGCAACTCTTACAACTTTCAAGCCCAACTAATAGTAGATAATATTGAGAGAGTATACCAATATGGTAACAAATATTATATTAATATGTATTTAATTTATCAATTTAAAATGCATGGCACACATGACCACATGGGTGCTATATTCTCAAGCATGCCAAATTATATTTCGCTCTGTATAAATGCTATTCTTGAAAGTATTCAAGTCCAAAATACATGTAAAATTATCATGAACACAAAACACTCCGGTTAATACGTTGTTATTTGTGAGGCCCAAAATAATAAGAAAAGTTCTTGTGTGAAGTAACTGACGTACTCACCTTTGCTTTGTACGAATACTCGAGTGCTTGCATAATTCCCCCGACTCTCTGGAGATACTGCAGTGTGTTTTTTAACGACCCACCGGAACAACCGAGATTTCCGTATGCGATTGAACAGTCAATGATTTGTTGCGAACTAAACATGTCCCGAGACAATACCGATAAAAGTAATGTTTTTTACTAGTTTCGTTTCATTTTTATTCATTTTTTTATACTCGCCTTAATGTATGCAACTCTCCCGTAGCTTTGAACAGCTGTCCTTCTAGCATGGAAGCTATACTGAAAGCGTAACATGCACCGCACTCCAATTGATTCCATCCTGGCGTATTGAATCCCCTTTCCCGCCAGTCAACCTGTCAGCCCGAAAAAATGATTTAATGGTTTTACGGACACTGTTGTCTTTATACGAAGCCCACTGAGAAAATGTAAAATTAACATAAAAATAGTTACAATATAGCGTTCATAGTAGTGTTAAGTACAAATATTTTAAATAAGATACACTTTCATTACCTTATAAAATATTTTGTGTTCGCTCAATTAAAGTAAATGCATGTATTCACGTGCCAAAGAAATTAAAATTGTTCAAAATTAATTACTAAAAAATTAACATTTAAAATAGTAAAATTGTCATTATACTTAAGGTCGTATGTTTATTTTTAGGCCAGAAACCATTCCGAAAGTTTTCTTTGTATTTTTTAGTTTATTTTATTGATAATATTATTAATATTTAGAAGATACATTTACCTAACCAAATAAAACACGTAATTTTTTTTTCAATCAATTATTCTTTAACAAGGAAATTTGGAATTATGTATGTATGTTTTTGATTTTATATAGCTATTTTACCATTAACTTTTTACTGTTTCACATCCTAAAAAATTATAAATAAAATAGCATTTTTTGATTCCATTACAGTTTAATAATTAGTAATTTTTATTATCTATATATTATGTTAATTGTAATAAGAATAATTAATTATGATTACGTACCTCTTCGGGAATTGATCTTGTATGATGTTGTGAGGGATTAGTATGTATATCTGCGCTCTTGAATTTGCTTGATGAAAGACTAGTAAAATGTTTATTGTATAGATGCATAGGCTGTAAAATATACAAAATTATCATTAAATTCAAAAAAAGACATTTTTAAATATATAACATATTATTTGAAGATTTATATACATTTAAACAGTTATTAAATTGTATTTCTTTGAACAGAATTCATCTTTATTAAATATATGTTAAATAAAAGTAAGTAAGTATAGTAGTTCTCAGGTATACTATATAAGTACAGAAAATACTAAAATAAATATTTGGTGAAAATTAAAAAAAATTTCGTATTTTAAATAATAAAATCGATTTTGTCAATTTTTGGTATTTGAGTCACATTTTTTCTAATTATTAAAAAAAATACTGTGAGTTGAATTTCACTTTTGATCCCCCTCCCAACCATTTCAAAGTGCCAACTGCAACTAAATTCATTTACGTTCTAGCAAATATATTGAGTTTGAAAATTGAAACGTCTCAACTAATAAATTAAATTTTTTAAATTAAATATTTCTTATCATTTCGATTAGTATCAATAGACATATTGCTATTTATACAATTTTTTTTTTATGATATAAAAATTAAATACGAAAATGTATAGGAATTAATTATGAAAATAAATTGTGTGTGAATTAAAATCATATAATAAAATACGAGTATATTGTGACTAAGTTAAATTTATTCAAAACTGTTTCGTAAAAATAAACCACAGCAATTATAAATACACAATTACTTGAAATATTATTCCATGCATTTAACTTTTACTTTTATATACGATTTGCAATTTACAGTGAATGTTTTAAAAATTCATAAAGCCTATACATAGCACGAAAATAAAACTTTAACAAAATTAATTGAATTTTTAAATTAATATATTACTCACAATTATTTGTACAAATTTATCATTTTTTTAAATTAATAATTTTAATCATTACTATTATTATTCACGATAATCATTTATTAATTTATTCGGTTTTATTTAATTTCAAACATTTCAACATACGAGTATGTATTTAAAAATCTACTTTATTGAATATCTTAATGGAGTCCTTTAACGTATCTTCTGTCACATAATTATGTAATTGGAATGTATTATACTAGACAGTAGTTCACTGAACCTTTTTGCAGTCTAAGGATTTATATTACACACAAATTAATGTACTTTGCATTGAAATTCGAATCTTAATCATTAATAATATGAATTATGTCAGCATATCGATGTTATATACTCGTAATATATAGTAGGTAACCTGAGATGACATTGAATGTGAAATGTCAAAACTTTTTTATCCAACAAAAACAGACTTTTTTCCATGAACCATATGTATTATTCAAAAAATGTTTTAGTTTATTTTTGTATATAAACTTTGTGAATTCATAAATAACTGCATATACGTATACATATAGTGTAAGTTTATAATTTTTAAACTTTGAGATAACTTTTTAGTCGTTATCCGTGGACCCGTGGGACATACTTTTTTTATAACACTTTGTGATAACTTGCAGCTACTTTATTATATATTATATGAAAATAAAGTTTATACGTTATGGCGTAATTGTTTATTTTTGATAACTATGAAGACATTCAATAATATATGTATTGTTGTTATTGATGATATGTGATATCATCAATATATATTTATGTGTAAATACTTGCAAAAAAAATTATGTGAAAATTATGCTGTTTTCTAATTTAAGGCAACCAGAGCTAAGTATTCATTAAGAAAAAAAATTAAATTTTTTGTATTGTACTAATTTACAGATTTAATTTAATTTAAGTGTTTTGAGACCACTATTTTTAATTTTTAAAGAAATTTAAATTTGCTTCTGGAATCCATTAAACGAAAAAAATTAAATATGTTATGCTTACAACTCTAAAAAAAAAAAAATAACCTGTTAATATAAACTTTAATAAAGTCAAGTTTTACGAAGAATTGAGAGTTTAAGGTAAACTACTTTATAACTTTTAGGTGTCAGATATTTAAAAAAAAAAACTTTTTTTTAATGTAAATTCCATTTTCCAAGTATTAATATATTTTTTTAAATACTTGTTGTAGTGTACATAGTATATTAATGAAATTAATCAAAGTATATCATAAATGTAACATAGTTTAGGTATTTTTATACATAATGATGATTTCTATGCTAAATAATCATATGGGTTAAGTTGACTTTCTAAAATCGGAGGATGTTGACTACAAGTATATTGCAAAGTATTTTTATTTTTTTGTTTTATACAAATTCTATTGTATTTAACTCATTTCAAATGAGTACTTCATGTCAGAGGTATGTCTTGAATTTTTGAATAGAAAGTGATAATCTCTGGTTTCTGATTTTTATGAGTTATAACTTATAAGTTATATTTTATAAATTTGGTGATGAAGATAAATAATAATGATGTCTATGGTATTGATACTATTGAATTGGCGGCCAGATCTATTTGAGGGGCTGATTTTGAAAATGAAAATATTATTGAAATTTCAGAGTGTCAGCATCTATAGCCGTCTGGCCATACAGCGGAAACTTGTTTAACCATCACTCGATTTACCGCCACTCTCTGTTATCCGTCATCGGTCACCGTTGAAAAAAAAATAATGATACAATCGAGATCCGCGATAAACTCGTCAAAGTTAAGTTAGGTTAAGTTAAGTTAAAAGTAGAAGTTTAATTGAAAGTGGGCTGTCATTTGAAGATGTTATAGGTGTTAAAGAATTTCGTAAAAATTACAACATAAAAGATGCGATTTTCAATTTTGCCAGAGCATGGATTGATTTGACTGTACCGAACCTGAAGAATGGGTGGAATAATCAATGGTCTGAAATAATACCGCACAAATCTGGAGAAACCGAGACTGTAAGTTTAAAAGAAATCGATAGCTTTAGAATGAACTGAACAGTGAAATATTTCAATGAAAAAAGTAACAGATAGGTTAGAAAGTGATAAGCAGGGTGTAGAATTTGAAATTTTGTATGATGATCAAATATTTTTAATGTCACTATCGTTGAAGAAGAGGATGGTTACAACATTGGAGATTCAATGCTTGACTTAAAACCACCAACTAGCCACTCAGAAACAAAATTAATGTTAACAAAATGCTTTGATTGATTTGAAAAATTATGTATGTATAGGTATAATATAAATAATTTAATAGCTATATAACTATAAAATATATTTGTAATGATAAAATGAAATATAATTTAACGTAATACCATTCAGTCGTTTAATAGTGTAATGCCTTAACCGTTGTTACTAGTTTAAGCTCGACAATATTTATAAGTTGTTTTATCGAAAGTACATATTATAGCAAGCGATAAAATATACGTAAGTTGTCTGATTCGACGCCGTGTGTGTATTTATTTCTATTTATGAGTACCTACATGTTTTTAAGTGCTTAATACTTATTTGGTTGAGATATTTCTCATGTTTTTCATGTTTGAATTTTTTTATTATATAAATGATTTATTTAGGTAAAAATATTTCTCTGGTGGCCTAAAATAATATTTAAAAAATTCCTTGCATCATATCGAATAAGTTTTTTTTTTTTTATAGACAACCCGTCTTAACCAAAACTTTAACTCAGAATACGATAAATAGATTAAAGTGCCTGTGAAAAATCAAATAGTAAAATTAATATTTTAATATTTTTAGGCATGAAAGTGTATTAATAATTATTTTTAAAGGCCTTAGTACATGATTTTATACAGAACTACTGTATACTAGCCCTGCCTTATGGATAAGTAAATCAAAATAAGGGTAGCGTTAATAAATAAATATAAATTTTTACTAATATTTATTAGATATTAAAAAAGAATAGCGTAAAATGTATTTATGTTTCAGTGTGTTAGATGTAAAAACATGGCGAACTTAGTACGACAGTGCCCTGGATTGGTTTCATTCAAATATTGTTTTGTATCAAGTGATTTTATTTAATAGTTATTAATTTTTTTTTATTTATTATAATACATTTATTGTTGAAATTCAAATAAATAACTAATAAGTTAATAAATTATAATATTTATACGTCTGTTTCTAGCAAATTAAAGTATACTAATCAAAGTAATAATTTAAAATGAGTATATTATACCTTACACGCAAGTGAACTTTTTTGGTGTATTTTGAGCATTAAATTCATAAAAATTCACAAAATTAAAAATACGAGTATACAAAGTAAGCCAATTAATCTCAAAATCTTCTACAAATAACTTATAATGGTATACGTTTATAATTTAATGGTCAATAGTATCAGAAACCTTAAAAATAATTTTTCAAGGAACAAGGTAATAAAGATTATATGTATGTGCACGCATGAATGCGTGACATATTGAATTCAGCATATAGTTTACCGGCATAAATGAATAAATTTGTCACGATTTTGTAGGTATTAATGAATAACATTTATCTACTCAGACTTGTATATAAACTTCAACCTGTCACATGTATAGTAAGTCTATACAGTAATGCAATAAATGTATGGTTGAAAGAGTATATATAGAGATGGGATTTTATAAGTGAATAACATTTTCCCAGACTCGTGTATAAATTTTACCCTTCGAATACAGTAAGCCCGTATGATACTCAGGATTTTTAAAACGTATTGACACGCATTTTATAAACCTACTTACCTAGCTAAAGTTTTAAACACTATTTTTCTCTCACTACCCTAGATATTTCACCAGAACATTTCAGTTTATTTAACAATATACTATTTTAACATTTTTTTTTTTTTTTTATCTTTCTGTATCAATGTCTTAATATTAAAAATGTAAGTATATACTTATTTAGATCAAATGGAAATACAAAAGAATTTATAATACCTATATGTATATTATTTAAAAAATCAAAGTTAAGTACCATACACTTGTTTTATATAAAACACTACCCACCCGGGCATGGCAGAAACCTACGGGTGCCCACTAAACATTCTACCAAATAAGCGTCCGAACTATAGGCCTTCGAGCCTACTCCCGGACATATACGCCATACGAAAAAAAAATATAACTCACTAATTTTTTTAATCATCTATATTTGAAATTTAAACCCAAACAATTAAATTTGTCATCTGCAGACGTGTGTTTAATACATATAATAATATTATACCATCTATATCATTGGTTCCCAACCTCTTCTATTCTACGCCTTCTTTGTAGATTTTCAAAAATCTCGCGCCCCTTCTATAAATTAAAAAAAATCGATCACCTTTTTTCGTATACTTTACAAATAAACTATACAATATTCGGAAAAGCTATTTATTTTTTTTTGATGATAATTTATCGGTTATTCGTTATTGATACCCGATAACGGATGAAAGGAACCAGTCAATTAATTTTATTTTCTCTACGTTTTAAAATAAAAATTGTATTTCATAGTAATTGCTTACGCCTCCACAGCAATGTGTAAACGCCCCCCAAGGGAGACGCGTCTATCAGTTTGAAAACCAATGATTTATATATTATGATTATAACTCATAAATGCCATACATTCAGTTTATTATGGACAATAAATTGTCAATTTTAAATTATAATTAGAAAAATTAACATTTATAGATATTGGTTACTTATTAATGTCTAATTTAATTGAAATTGTCATGAAAATATTTAAAAAATATATATTTTAATATAAATACTAACAATTATACTTATTTACTAATAATAAAAATAATTTGTTAAAGTTTTAAGCGACCATAACAAAATAATAGATTACATTAAAAAAACATCCTGTTGGTTAATGGTTAATGGTTAATCCATTAGTTCATATAAATTCAATTTTAATTTACTCAACTAAAACCCCATGGGAAGTTTTTAAGTAGCAATGAATGTACCTTCTTACCTTACGGCTTACATTTTCATTATCCACAACTGAGTAAAAACCTTTAACATTTAACTCTTTAAGTAGTATAAGATATTACATTACTCATTACCAATTTATACGTATTAATCGTTTATTAAGTAGATAGAAAATATTTATAAAACTTTTTAGATTAACTAAATAACTTATACATTTTTTTTTTTCATTTAATTATTGTTAATGATTATTATTATTTTTAAATAAGCTAGGACCAGTTGGTCTTACCTTATTGGTTAGGACAAGTTTCGATTATATATATATATATAAGTGTGAATTCATTAATAACTTAGATAATGCTTATTTTTCATTTATTTACAAATAGTAAGTTAAAATAATAACAATTTTGTTAGTTTGAAAAACATTTTAGAGACATTTTAAAAGTAAAATAGCAGATTGTAGAATAATACTACAATTGTTAGATCTGCTAACATTTGAATTATATTTATTACAGGTATAATGCAATAGCTATGCAAACTAATGTACGAGATTTTATTTACTAAAATTCGAGCTTTATATTATTTAAGAACTTGTGTTTCAAAATTTCTATAGTTAATGTAGGTAATAATTCTATTAATTGTAACTATAGCTAAAATAAACTGTTGTTACAGAATATTTCAATGATATCAAAGATATATTTATGTAGGTAGGTACTGTATTTATATTATTTTATAAATGTACAATTTAATAGTGTTATTTTTAAATTTGCGAAATTAGATTATTTATTACTAGTGCAGTTACTATACTAGTAACATGTTATATTTAAAAAATAACTATATTGAAATTAATTTATTAATATTAAAAATATTTATGACTTAATTTGACTCATACAAAACATGAATTTTTAGTGATCTTAAGCGCTTACATTTTCAGGCCTTAATTATAATGATATACCATAAATACTATATAACTCACAAATCCTTACATTTTTGCAAAAAGTGTTTGTAAACAAAAATCAAACCTTCAGTGAATATTCATTTTAAATTTCTAAGGAATAAATTTTTAATAAATGCTCATTAAATTGTACACAGTTTCTAAGAATATTAAATAAATTGTTGGATATGTTTAAACGAATAGGTACTATTACAACTATATTACAACCAAGTTCACGAATGTTAAATAAAAAAAATAAAATAAAAATATGAAAAATAGATTTATCTATACTTTCATATTTTGTATAAACAAATTAATATTAAAAATTTGATGATTATGATTTTTTCGGGAATAATTAATAATCCATAATCTATCATTATAGATTATACTTATAGTATAAATGTTGTTTAACAAATTTTTCTTATTAAAATTACTTTAAAATATTATAATCGTTTCAAATTATCATTTAAAAAAAATTTACTCAAAATATCAAAATTATTATTTTAGATTGAATATTGTTTACCATGTCAGCTAAATGATTCAAATCCAGTGTGTAATTGTGTTTTCCACTTTTGGCCTCTTCGTTGTGTCTATTAATATGATGGAAGTTCTCTTCCCACGCTGAGCGATGGTGGTATTCATTATTTCTTATGTATGTTTTATTATGTTCCACCTATAAAATATAATAAATATTTATCAAATAAATATTATCTGCTAATTATTTAAAGTTATAAATTATAACTATAAGTTACGTAGAGGAGTATAATTAATTTGTACTGAATAACCATAGAATAAATTTGACGGGTGAGTCATAAATTAACACTTCTTGTATATTGTATTAGATATGACATAAACTAGTTTTACATAATTTGTAGTTTTGAAAATATAGTTAGTGTATAGATGGCCAAATTCGGCATGAAAAAGCAAACAATTTTGATACACGGTATATGTTCATCTATCTGCTATCTGGTAGTAAAATTGTTTGTTAAAGATGAAAAAAAAATAGTTTTTAAAATTAGAACAGAGTGACACGAAAACCACATTTTAAATTCGGAAAATTGGTTTTACGTGAAAATTTCCATTCTTTCAAAACATTATTCTTTTTATTTCTGTTACTTTAAAGATTACTTAACTACTACTTGGAATACTTTTTTTTACTTCCGAAATACTTTCTAGATCCAATTAGCTAACAGAAACTAACCCCGGTTTTAAAATCAAATTTTTAATTAATAAAGTTTTTACTGCCCCAAAAGGTGATGACTAACGAAAAAATAAAAACACCTTATCTAAAAGATCAATACATCTTTGCTCCACTAAGAATCTAAGATATTTAAATTGACAAAATGTTAGTTAATTCAATTAAAATAAATTCTCAATAACCTAATATATAATTCAGATGGAATTAAGCATTAAGTTATTGAGGTGTTGACAAAATACCTATATTATAATCACTACATTAATAGTATTATTTTATTAGAGCTATATTTTAACACTTCTTTTATACTGACAAACGTCAAACATAATATTGTTAAATAAGCTTACAGTTTAATTAAAGACTCCAAATATGAAAACAATATATTTTACAAGGAATAAGACAATTAAATTTAAAAAATGAATTATACATTTTATATGCCAAGTGTTTTTTTCCTCAACTAGACAAATATGAAAATAATTATTAAACAAAATAATTCAGCTATTCTATTGTTATTATAAGTTTGAAATAAACGCTAAATCATCATACGAGACCCGGTTTTTTAGTTCGGTCGGTCGATTTTACACTGCGTTAAATTATATCAATTATTGAATTCTGATGTTTTCGTTACTAAAAGGTTAAAAAAATTGAATACTATACGAATAATTCATATTCAACATAAAATGCATACCTAAAATAACAAGTTTCTAAAAGATTGTATAAAAATTAATTTTTTAAAAGATTATGAAATCTGTTATAGTATTTGTATCAATAATAATTGGAATAATTGAATCATATGCAATAATTTTTTTTTTTTTTTTTTTTTAATACTAAATTCTAGTTAAATAGATTTTTCTAGTATTTTAGATTCTGAGCGGGGCAATGATTGTATTGGTTTTACAATGATATAAGTTTTAATTTATCTAATAGTCATCTTAAGAGCAATAAAAACATTGAAATTTGAACGTAATTTTTGATATAAAATTTGTTGTATCTGTACACGGAGGAAGGAGATTAAAACTAAAAGAAATTGAAATACTATACAATATAATCAACAAAATAGGTAAATGTTTAATTTATAAAAATAATAATTTATTCTAACCTAATATTTGAAACATTTAAAATTCTCAATTTTTTTTTTTTTTTTTTTTTTTTGATAATATTAAAGTAATAAGATTTAATTTAATTTTGGATAATAAGTGAATGCTATTTTTTAGTGTTAAAAATTCAAAGTTTGAAGTAGATACTTAAACAATAAAAATTTCTATTTTTTTTTCATGTTGATAAAAAAATGTTATGCTTAGTTAATAAGTTAAAAATTATAATATAAACTTTCTTATTAATTTTACTTATTTTAATAAAATAATATCAAAAAACAAAAAAAAATATTTGTACAATTTTTTTATGAGAGTTTGAAATTAAAATATTAACAAAATTTTTAATAACCATGAATATGTGTACATAATCGATTATTTAATCAAAAATTCACAATATTTTCTACAGTAAGTCAGTACTTGTTGACTTAAAAATTAATAATATAATAAATGGAAAATTAATTTATGTTTTCAACAAAATTTAATTCAACCGCCGACTATATTACTTATAGTATAAAAAAATAATTACTATGGCAAGAATATTAATGTATTATAAAATATAGATAAGTACTTTAAAATATAGGTTGATATATCGTTTCTGATTAGAATCAATTTTTGTATGCAATGATATATCATTTAATTCAAATTTAACAAACCTATTACAGTGACCTACTCTATGAAAGTGATACCTAAGTAAACTCGACACCTATTATACAGAAGTACAGTTATCTACTTGCTCACTTTTTAAAATTAAACATGTAAGCATAATATATGGATATTTTTATTTATAATAAAATCAGCGTATAAATTTAGGCAGTGATTAATATAGACTCAGTTCAAAATTAAAAATATTAAAAATAAATATATTATGGTTTAAAATATAATTAAAAATCAAAAAGTAAAGCTATCAAGTACCAGTTTTTCGTAAGTCAAAATTGTTTTTGTAAGTGTTGTGTTTATCAATTAATTCATTAGCTCATAAATCGAGAGTTAACATAGCCTACATAACAATGATGTTAAGTTTTCGCTGGAATAGAAATTTGTTTAGAGATCCTGGGTCAAATTATTCGAAAATAACAAGATTATTCATAATATTGTTAATTTATGCAAAACCCTTGACTTAACTTTAGGCGATAGATTTATTATCAATTAATCTTCAAATATTCTTAATCCTCGAAGAGACAATAGATATTCGAAATAATTAACATCATCGTTCGAGGAATTAATGTATATATACACATTTAATGAATTGTACACAGATTAATTATCATCGTAATTATTTTATAAATAGATATTCAACGTATAAAGTTTCAGACCAGTCTTATAAAGTATTTACCTTGAGTAAAGAACAACGGTATTCAAATTATTTGTAAATATCTATTCAAATACAAATTTTAAATATTATCAGTATCTTAATATATTAAAAATAATTGAAGTTTTAAAAATGTTTCAAACAAAAATACATATATTAAAATAAGAACATCAAATACACCTCAAAAAAAAAAAAAAATATATCAATGTATTTATCATGTAGAACCATAAATAAATTCATTTATTTGTTAATCATACCGTATTTATTACACACGTTTTCTCAGTGAGTTGCTTATATAAAATTAAAATGAAAAACATTGAATTTATGTTTCTAACGTCAGATCTGTTATCCAGTTATGGACTTACCTTAAAATCGTTCCAGTGCGGATCCAAATGAACGGAATGTTTCGGCTTCGCTCCGCTGGCGGCGTCGAGGAGTATCACGCAACAAATCAGCGGCCAATGTGGAGCTTGCTTGGTACCGTACCTGCAAGTCAAACAAACCACCGTCGACACACATGACTATAAATTACAAACGCGATATGTCATTATTAATACAGTATTTAATACACTTACATCGTCGACTTCCCATTAACTCCCACGCAATATCCGATATCGATAGAACGCTTCAGTATACGATACGGAAAGTTTGGATTTGACCGGCGGCAGTAACAACATGTGTGGGATATCACAGGTCGTCGGTCGAGGTATTCTGCTGAGAGGTTTCAATGTACGTATTGCTTAACTACCGTGCAAAAAATCATGCAAACATACATTTTTGCACACTTCACAAAATCAATGCCGCCGACGACCGGATAGTACGTGCCGCACACTTATGTGTATAATAGAATATATACCTATAAAGGTATAATGCGTTTTCCGCCGTGTTGCTAAACCGTTTCTATACGTTCGAAAGAGGAGCGGCGACAATAAGAATTTCACGATTTGTGGTCTTCATTAATATAGGTCATTTATTACATATTGTACCAGCTACTTGTATTTTTTCTGTTTTTATACGGACGCACAAAGTTTGAACATCTTAATAGGTTCTTAATTTGTTTACATCTAGCGTAAATTCTGAGCGGAGCGATGAGTGTACCTATTGATTTTACAACAATGTGTTTTTTTTTCTGTCTATAATCACCTTTTTTGATAGAAAAAATGTATTGATTTTCAACTTAAGTAAGATTTCTGGTAGAAGATTACTTCGAGGGGTCAAAAGTAAAAAATTCCAAAATATCCGAGAAAATCTATTTTCTTGTTATTTTTTTCTATAAATCACGTTAAAAAGTTATTCGCTGGATCAAATTCTTAAGAATTCAATTTATTACTGCACATGAGTTTTTCTTATATTTTCATAAAAATATTAAAAATATATAACTTAAGTTTTTTTTTTTATATAATATGCATAAGAAGTTAACATTTTGACAAAAATAGTCAAAATCAGGACAATTTAGAAAATGTAATATAATATTCCCCATAAATAAAGTTCATATGAGAACTAAAAATTTAAAAAAAACATACAAACTCAATTAATTTTTACAGATACTGTATTTTTGTATTTCAGATTTTGACTAAATAACATAACATATTTAAACGATGTTGATTACTTAATTACAATTAAAAAATTTTATTACTGGAGACTTATAACTTTTAAAACTATTATGCATTTTATTATGCACAATGATATTTTAAAAATATTATCTATTTATTTATGAACTTATAAGTACTGTTTTATAATATTTAAAATAAGGTGTTATTAACTCCAAAGTTAATAACAATACTAAAATACGATATAACTATAAATTATTTTAATAATATTAAAAAATGCAATATTTTTATTGCAATTATATCAACCTACTGTAATATTTATAGTAAAATAAATCACTTTAATAGAAATATCAAGTATCTATATAGCTCTATAGTATATGATTTATAGTTAATAATTTTAATAAAATATTTGATGAAAAAGATTTAATTTTTAATATAAAATAAGGTCATGTAATATAACATGTTTTTTTTATAAAATTTAACACCAGTAATCCGGTAGATAAAAGTTATATGATTTTATTTTATTTTATTTTGTATTAGGTACTAACTTTAAGTCTTCCAAGGATGATGTACAGTAAGCATTTAAAGCAATATAGACTGCTTGCACTAGTATTACTAACGCTTTAGAGAAACAAAAATCATAATAGAGTATTTACTGCAAAGTTTATTTTACTAATGATAATAAATAATAGTAATATTAATATTTTTATTACGAAAATTATCTTATTATAAATTTAAAATTATTTTAATGAGTAGTACTTTAAAATTTAAAATAAAATAGTCGCTATGTAATAAATATTATATATAGCACAGAATGCATTAAATGCCTTGTCTTCTGTTAATATTCAATAATGCATATTACTAGCACCCACGATTAAAGTTACATTTAATAAAGATATTTCTAATTTATTTTAACATTTTTCAGAAAATTTCTGAAAGTTTTTATTTTATGTGCTTTCGGTTTTGATCCCAGAATAAATTAAAGAATTAATCTAATGTTCGGTTAAAACTTGATTTTACCATTGTTTTATTGTTATGAATATTCTCATAGAAGTAAGTATACTTAGTTAATGTTGGTAGAAATGCAGATTCAAGTTTTGGAAAATCAAATTTAATTTACTTGATAATAATATAGGATACAAAAATGGTTGTTACTTTCATGTTTTACACTTTGTTCAATATTATCTATATTTTATAAAATATTAAAACATTGTCTATCAAATTCAGATCGTTGCTCTGAACATTTAACTTTAACTACATGACAATGAAAGTATGTTGTATAGTTTTGAATGGAATCATTATAGCTTAGAATAGGAGCATTATTACTCGATTGTTTTTGAAGAAAAAGATCTGATATTTTAAATTTTCATTTACAATTATATAACTTATTATTGATTTTAATTAATTTTAAGAAGTATACATCTCGTTACGTGTATTTTAAAATATTAACATAAATTACATTTTCTTAGACAATAACCAATGCGGTTTAAGAGTTATTCAATTGTCAACTTATTGTTAAATATATTAGTACATAAATATTGTAATTTTATATTTTTAAATATATGTAATAATTTAATAAAATGTACAAACTTTTTAAATTTTTAAAATAAATATTTATTTTATAGAATATTTTGTATTTTTGAACTTTTTGGCCAGCTATAAAAACTGAATCCAGTCTTTTTGTTCACCTTTTTTTAAAACGGACTTTTCGTCCGAGATTCACTAAACGTGTCATCGTGAGCTCGTAGCTATATCTTTTATATGATGGTCATACGAGTGATTTAATTAATATAACATATTATAGTTGCTATTTATAAAAATACCTACATAATATGAAAATATCATTTTTTTTTTTAAATAATATTTTCTAATATTATACGAATTTTGAATCAACGAACCCATTATAAGCTGAAATATGTTCTGGATAACATGAAAATTCAAAACTAACTTAATTTGGAATATTAAAAAATATAAGTTGATTTTAAGTTAATGCAGATACAAATAAGTTAAAATTAACTTAACTTTTAATCTATTATAACTCATCAATGCCCAGACTTGTAAAAATGTATTATTTATTAAAATTGAAATAGTTTTTATTCAGTCAATTTTGGTTTAAGAACCATATTTAATTGGTAAAAATGATTTTAAAAAATTTAGTTTATCCGAATTTAGTATCGAAAACATCGGTTATCATTTAAAAAAATATAAGTTGTATTGCGTATGCGCGTACTAAGAGGGTTAAAAATTTGAAATGTATTTATAATATATACCACTACCTTGTAAAAATAAATCGATTTATTTCAATATAATCCGGCTGAGAAATTCAGTATTTCCCAAATTGGCAAACACTTGTTTTATATTATTAAATTTTTATTTTTAATAAAATTTATATAATAATTAAGTAATATGTAATATTTTCAAAATATTTAGATTAATATTAACCTATTTACCTATTTACCTATTTTCATTATTCTACAGTAAAAATAGTTGTGGTCCAAAAATATAATTATTTTAAAGAAGCAAACATTTTAAATTATTATTTTAATGTTTGATTATTATAAATATTGTAATTATAATGTAAAATTAAATGATAGTTAAATGTAAAAAATAAAGGCATTTTCAATGTGTTTACTACTGTAACAACAATAAAATTACGGTACTTTATAAAAGCTTATAAAATTAAATATAACATACCTACATACATTTTATTTCTTTTAAACAATTAATAAAACTTTTAAAATTAATGTTTTAAATGTGTTTAAATACATTTTTTGAAACAATATGTTTTAAACATAACAACTTTAATTATAATCAGGTTTAATATTATATTTTGTTATTAAACTATAATTGTTTAAAGTTCAAAACACGGGTTCCACCAACACAGATTTATGCCAATTTGTATTCAACGTTGAAACATTGAAGTGCATATATTTAACATAATTCTTAATTTAAAATTTCAGTTTGTCTTCTGTTTTTCTGCTCAGGCAGTCGGAATTTTAACTGGCAGGACATATTTACAATCATCCATAAGTAAGAATAGACCATAATTTGCTAAACTTATTTTTGCCAAAATATAATTTTTTTCAAACATAACCAATGAATTTATTAAGCCATAGTCTAAAGTCTAACAAATGCTAAAAACTGATTTTCTTTATTAATGATACATCTGAAAAAACACTCTTAATACTTCTCAGAATTTTATGAAATTTTTGTATCTTTATGATCAGTAAATAATTATTTGTGTTATCGGACTAGATTAATAATTCCCTGGTGGAAAATTTGTTGAGCTGGTCTCAACAGTGCTTGCTGCTTGGTTATGGATGAATGGTGAAATTAGTTCAAGAAAGGTTGAGTTGTAAAATATGTTGTGATACTTATGTTTAATATGATTTATGATTATATGAATAATAAATAATTACCCTTGTCCTTTACCAAATATTTTTTTATTCCAATTTTAAGCGTTACATAAAAGTCAAAATGTATTTTCTATGTGAATTGTAAACTTTTAAATTATTTGGATACCTACCTATGTGTTTTTCTTAAAAAAATATCAATATATTATGTTAAGTATTTTTCAAATGTTTACTATAATAACAAAAAGTGGTACTAATATTAATATGAAATTAATTTAAAATTATTAGATTTTTTTTTTTATTTTAAATATTTTTATTTACTATACAAAATATTTTGTGTTTTTATAAATACAATATCATTAACGTGATGAGATTTGTTTTCATAATTCTATTATAATAATATAGCCTAGACAATAATATAAAAATGTATTCATTTTTAATACTTATAATATTAATAAACACGAAATTATATTTTTGGAGACTGCAGTTAAGACTTATAAATTAGGCCAATGATGTACATATTATTAGGTTAGTGTGCATTATATTTATGCATAATAATTTAGCATACCTAATAATTATACTTAATTTATACATACTTCACACAAGTAGTTTATTGTTTGTATTATCATACTATTCATATAAGACTAATATTTCCCTGGTGGAAAATTTATTAAGCTAGCTTAGACAGTCCTCATTGAATAAAACTGTTTAATGAATTAATCCTAGTGATTTTTAGTAATTTTAGTAATTGCTTATTTCGATATAATATGCATATCAAATAATTAAGCTCCTTCCCAAATGTTTTAGTAATTAGTTTTATTTTTATTAGTCAGCCTAAGTAATGAAATCGTCAATCTGTACAACTCTATTACCCATTTTCTTCACATACCACTTTTTAAATAATAATATTTTGAGTGAAACGAGGTCATTGCTTTTAAGATTTTATTTTTCATTTATTTTTTGTTTTTTTTACAAGAAGAATAATTATGCTTCCAATTATCAAGTTAAGAAATATTTTTCAGTAGTCCAATTTATCTAGTTAAAGAGAGTTTATTTTTCGAAATACAAATAAACCGCAATACATAAAGTAAATTTTCGTAGTAATTTTGTTTATAAGAAATTAAAGTACAAATATTTCATACGTCTACAATGAAATTGGATATTTCTACGAGGTTTTATAAAATTTCATTTATTTTGTTATATTTCAACTAACTCTATTCGTAAAGAACTTAAACAGTAGTTGCGTTATTTTATAAGTCTATGATAGATATGTAAAATTATTAATTTAAAACATCATCTTTAATTTTCAACTTTTATAGGTAAGTATTTAAAGTTTTCAATTTATTAGAACTTTTGATAATATCAATACACTTTTATTATATTTATATAGACTGTCTTAAGTATTTCTTAACGTCAAATAAAAGTATTGTATTTTATAAATGTTTTCCTAGATTAAAAATTTTAAAAAAATTTGTAAACAAAACCTGTTCTAACACTCAAAATAGTTGTTTTTCCAATTTCTAAACATTAAATTTTAAATATTTTTCTATTGAAACATAAGTATTCAAGCTAATTAATTCAAAGTCCTTTAAAGATTTTTCGTATTCGTGTTGAATGACAGTTTTTAATTTTAATTAATGCTTGATAAAACAAGCTTCTGCCATTGCTTATATTATTATAACGCAAATAAATGTTTAAAAATTACATACAAAAGTTAGTAATTTACTAAATTATTTATAATAGAAATTTCAAACTTACATTCAAAATGCCTAAAAAACAAAGTGTATGTGAAACAAACAATTCTGGTTGGAAGTATTTTAAACAGAAAAGAAGAAATCTTCGATACTTATACTCAAAAAATATTGGGTCCTTCACACGTTTGCTGGAAAAATATTTCAAATGACTTAAATAATGTTGTTTCATCAAAATATATATATACTATTGTAAAACAAAATCGATTCAATATTTTAAAACAACTAAATTTTTCTGAAAATGTTTGTCAAATTGAAAAAAACCCCGATACAATTATAAGTGATTTATCTGATAATGATGAAAATAAATCACAGACTTTGGAGTTCAATATAACTTTATCAGCACAAGAATGGAAACTTGTATATGATTCCGAAAGAAGGGCTTATAAAAGAAATGATAGAAATAATGGGGTTCGAGAGTACGATGTCTTGATTCCTTTTCAGTAGACGAATATTATTAATGACCATTTTTTTGAACAAACTAAAAAAGCTTGTAAGATGGTATATAAGTATGCAAAAATATATGCAATGGGAAATATTTACCTAAAAATGTCTGGTCGCTGTGGTGTTTGTCAAAGTATCTTTAAAGGCTTAATACAAAATCCTCCCGAACCAGATTCACGTGTCATAATACAATGTTCTTACGTTGGATTATTTGAATATTGCACAAGTGGTCTAAAAAGACGTATTATTGGTAAAAAAAGAGATGAATATTCTAACAAACTAATTCAACAAAATATGTCAGCTTCTTTCATTCAAAAAATGTAATCTAAAAAAGTCACGAACTATGGTGATCCTGAACCCAGCAGTTTACCTTCACTTAATGCTCTTAGAGTATTAAAATATCAAAAGCGTCAAAAAGATAAATTACATCAAGATTCTATAATGGCTTTGGCTCTAGTTAAAGGAATTGCGCCGTTCAATCAAATTATTCAAGACATTGGTTATGATCGATTTTTTTTGCACTATTGGACGTCAACCGAAATTAACACTTATAGAATATATACAAAGCAAAATAAAGTACCTAGAGTTTCGATTGACGCAACAGGTGGACTTA